ATCCCAGCACTTTGGGAGGCTGAGGGGGGCAGATCATTTGAGCTCAGGAGTTAAAGACCAACCTGGCCAATATGGTGAAACCCCATCCATACTAAAAATACAAAAATTAGCCGGGTGTGGTAGTGCACATCTGTAGTCTCAGCTACTTGGGGGCCTGAGACAGAAGAATTGCTTGAACCTAGGAGGTGGAGGTTGCAGTGAGCTCAGATGGCACCATTGCACTCCAGCCTGGGCAACAGCGAGACTCTGTCTCCAAAAAAAAAAAAAAAAAAGATTGGTTAAAAGCCAGCCTCCTCTGTTTGTGGTGTTGTTTCCGGCTGACTTTTAGGGGTCTTCTATCCTCTCTCTAGAGCAGTGGTAACCAAATTTTTTTAGCACCAGGCACTGGTTTTGTGGAAGACAATTTTTCCATGAACCAGGCTGGGGTTTGGTGGGTAGGGGTTGGTTTCGGGATGATTCAAGTGCATTACATTTATTGTGCACCTTATTTCTATTGTAATATATAATGAAATAATTACACACTCACCATAACGTAGACTTGGTGGGAGCTCTGAGCTTGCTTTCCTGCAACTAGATGGTCCCATCTGGGGGTGAGGGGAGACAGTGACAGATTATCAGGCATTAGATTCTCTTAAGGAGCACACAGCCTAGATCCCTCACATGCGCGGTTAACAACATATGAGAATCTAATGTACCGCTGATCTGAAGAGGTGGAACTCAGGCTGTAATACGAGTGATGGGGAGCAGCTGTAAATACAGAGGAAGCTTCCCCATGACCCCGGGGCTGGGAATCCCTGCTCTAGAGTACCTGTGAATCTTGTCATGGTCCTCCTTGGATGGCAGTCGAGAGTCACCTGACTACCAGCTCTGCCTGAAGCAGAAAGAGCCTCCATAGAAATTTCTGCCTTTTTATTTTTCCCTCTGAACCTTCTGGAATCTTCAATGACCTCAGGACTACTTTTACTAATGCAACCCTTCTGCATTTTGAATTCATGACCTAGTGTTTGATATTCTGCATTTCAAACTCTCACTTCCTGTAGTTTAAAACACCTGTGGTCACATGCTGTCAGTCACCAGTTCTTCAGTAGACAGCCTGCTCTCTTCATATACTATCTCTGACCGGGAATTTCAGAGAGCTGCTTTTCTTTCTTTTCTTTTTTTTTTTTTTTTTGAGTTGCAGTTTCGCTCGTTACCCAGACTGGAGTGCAATGGTGCGATCTCGGCTCACCGCTACCTCTGCCTTCTGGGTTCAAGCAATTCTCCTGCCTCAGCCTCCCGAGTAGCTGGGATTACAGGCACGCGCCACCATGCCCAGCTAATTTTTGTATTTTTAGTAGAGACGGGGTTTCACCCTGTTGACCAGGATGGTCTCGATATCTTGACCTCGTGATCCACCCACCTCGGCCTCCATGGGTGCGTGTGTCTTCCACCTTGAAGGATTCTGTCTTAAGGGTGTTTTCTAGTCTGATTTATACTGGAGCCACCAATTTTAACAACACTAGTTTTCCCTTTGTCTGCCTGTCTCTTTATGTCCACAGCTCTCATTCTCATCTGCCTCTTTTTTTAAAACTGTCATGAAAATAGAATGGTAACTCACTATTTTCTATAGCTTTGGGATTTTTTATGTTCCCTCTTCTTAATTCAGGAAATGGTTTGGTCTAACACCATTTATTCCAAACCTTTATTCATTAAACAAATGAATTAACAAATTAGATTCATGCAAATCTAACTTTATCTTTTTGGTGGATTAATTCGTACCAGTTACATTGGTAGAGTTATCTTTCATTATTAGTTAAAAAATGGGCAGTCTTGTCAATTTAAATTCAAATTTTAAAGATGGGAAAAGGAAGATGAAAAGGACAATAAGGAGATAAAGACCAGATGACTAAGAAATCAATTCTAACTTTGTAACTCTCTAATCCTTGAAATTCTACATGGCAGATGAGTGAAACATTTCATGTCTTTAAGGCAGTATTTATTCAAAAGGCTAATTTTAAAAATTTTATAATAGCTTTATTAAGATGTATTTCACATGCCATACAATGCACCATCGAAAGTGTATAATTTAGTGGTTTTTAACATATGCACAGTGTCACACAACCATCATGAAATCATTTTAGAACATTTTATCATCCTCAAAGAAACTCCGTACACACTGGCAGTCATTCCCATTCCCCATCCCTCCTCCCTTGTCTCTCATGCCCTAGGCAACACAATCTACTTGTGTCTTTTTTTTTTTTTTTTGAAACAGAGTTTCACTCTTGTTGCCCAGGCTGGAGTGCAATGGCACAATCTTGGCTCACTGCAACCTCCGCCTCCCAGGTTCAAGCAATTCTCCTGCCTCAACCTCCCAAGTAGCTGGAATTACAGGCATGTGCCACCACGCTGAGCTAATTGTGTATTTTTAGTAGAGACAGGGTTTCTCCATGTTGGTCAGGCTGGTCTTGAACTCCCGACCTCAGGTGATCCACTGGCCTCGGCCTCCCAAAGTGCTGGGATTACAGGCATGAGCCACCGCACCTGGCCTCTACTTTGTGCCTCTATGGATTTAATTATTCTGGACTTTTCCTATAAATGGAATTATGCCATAGGTAGTCCTTTGTGACTGGCTTCTTTCACTGAGCATCATGCTTTCAAGGTTTATCACGTTGTATGTGTATCAACACTGCCTTTCTTTTTGTTGCTGAATAATATTCCAGCGCACGGATAGACCACATTTTATTTATCTAGTCTTCGGCTGCTGGAGGTTAGGGCCGTTAAACTTTATAGCTATTGTGGCAATGCTGCTAGGAACATTTGTGTGCAAGTGTCGTGTAAACTTAGGCTTGAAGTTCTCTGAAGCATAGAACTAAGAATGGAAGTATTGGTCACATGGCACCTCCGTGTCTTCCTTTGAGGAACTGCCAGACTGTTTTTCAGGTGGCTGCACTGTTTTATGTCCCCACCCACAGCGTGTGAAGGTTTCAGTTTCTCCACCCTCACCAACACTTGTTACTATATCTCTTTTTTCATCATAGCCATCCTCATAGGTGTTAAGTGGTACTTCACGGTGCTATTTATTTATTCATGTACAAAGGGAGTCTTGCTCTGTTGCTCAGGCTGGAGTACAGCAGCGAAAGCTCGGCTCACTGCAAACTCCACCTCCTGGGTTCAAGTGATTCTCCTGCCTCAGCCTCCTGAATAGCTGGGATTACAGGTGCCCGCCACTGCACCCGGATAATTTTTGTATTTTAGTAGAGACAGGGTTTCACTGTGTAGGTCAAGCTGATCTTGAACTCCTGACCTCAAATGGTCCACCCGCCTTGACCTTTCAAAGTGCTAGCATTACAGGAGTGAGCCACCGTGCCCAGCCAGGCTACTTATTTTTAACATGGTATTGAAAGGTAGTGGAGCTTTACGGATTAAAAACAAAAAAAAGACATTGCCAGTTACAGTTACCTTTATCATCTGATAGATTGATGTTCATTGTGCTAATTCCATTGTCTTTTAGAGCGTTCCCAATCTTTTCTCTGTCATAAGCCATGTCCTATTAGAAAAATATTGAAAGTGCATGCCACCAGGAGGTTCTCATATACTTCCTAGATTGAGAATTATCTTAACCTGTTATCTGAAACTTTTTGATTTCACAGATCAGTTAAATAAAGTTGCCAACTTTGTGTTTCGCCATTTACCAACTACATTAGCGTGATTTCATCAAAGAAAGGACATTTAACCTTCAAAAGAACAGAATAACTATTTCATGCTAAGGAGTCTTTTTCAAGACTATTTTATCCACAGCCCCCACCCCCACCCCACCACTCAACTGTCTTTAATTTCCGGTATAAAAATTCTAGTTTCTCTAGGCTGGGCATGGCGACTCATGCCTGTAATCACAGCACTTTGGGAGGCCAAAGTGAGTGGATCATGAGGTCAACAGATCAAGACCATCCTGGCCAACACGGTGAAACCCCATCTCTACTAAAAATATAAAAATTAGCCAGGTGTGGTAGTGCACGCCTGTAGTCCCAGCTACTTGGGAGGCTGAGGCAGGAGAATCGCTTGAATCCGGGAGGTGGAGGTTGCAGTGGGCCAAGATGGTGCCACTGAACTCCAGCCTGATGATGGAGTGAGACTCTATCTCTAAAGAAAGAAAGAAAGAAAATTCTAGTTTCTCATGTGGCTTCCCACAAAACCTCTGGTGAGGACTTACATTGGAATAATGTTACGGATACTGTAGCAGGCCAGTCGCCCTCTCTGACAAGTCTATAGTCCAGCAGGCAGGCAAATGGGTGCATGAACAGAGAAGCCATGGAGACGGGGATGCTTTCTAAGCCTGAGCCAAGAGGACTCCTATAGCCCGCCCTGTTCCATTTCAGGCACATCTGTACCTCAAAATACTGGCCCTGCCTAGCTTCATAATCTGAGTATACAATCTTTCTTCTCTGATGCAAGCCAAAACCAAGAGATCAAATGTGGCAGGACACTTCCCAGTGGAGGCATCAGTGGGGTACATCTGGCACATACTGGTCAATTTCAGCCTTTGTAGAAATGGGACGATATGCCGTAATGTACCACATGATGTGATGCCAGAAAATTGCACAGCACTCATATGGAGGGTTCCTGCTTGTAAAATTGATCCTGAGACTATCGCTTAGACCTCAAGGTCCAACTATCAATTTCCAGGGGATACAAGGGTTTGCAGAACAAGTCAAATGATACCGCAAGGAAACCATCGGCCAATGCAGACTGTGGGAGTCTGAGACAAATGACCCATTTTCTTTAACACTACAGCATGTGGAAAAGGAACTTACAGAATAAAAGAGACTTAGAGATGTAGCAACCAAATATAATTTGTGATTCTCATTTGTATCCTGATTCAAACAAATCACGTGTAAAAAGGCATTTTTAAGATGAAGCAGAGCAATTCACAGATGATCTGAATATTAGATTATATTCAGGAATGGTTATTAATCTTCTTGAGTGATAATGGCAAAGGGACGGTTTTTTTAAAAAGTCTTTACTCTCTTTTGCGGTTCACAAGTGTGATGATTTTGTTTGCATGTTAATGAGTGAGATGAGCCTTCCTCAAACCTTGCTACTACATCAGCACCACATTACCCATCCAATGTGAAAAAAAAATCCTTTCTGATTATCACTTAGACATGCACACTGAAATATTTATAAGACACATGTTGTCTGAGATTTCTTTCAAAATACTCAAAAAGGCTGAGCATGGTGGCTCACACCTGCAGTCCCAGCACTTTGGGAAGCTGTGGCAGGAGGATCACTTGAGCCCAGGAGTTTGAGACCAGCCCTGACAATGTAGCAAGACCCCATTCTACAAAAAATTTAAAAATTAGCTGGGCATGGTGATGTGTGCCTGTAGTCCCAGCTACTTGAGAGGCTGAGGTAGGAAAATTGCTTAAGCCTGGGATATTGAGGCTGCAGTGAACTGTGATTGTGCTATTGCACAATTCCCAAGAAAAAGGAGTTATATTCGGAAAATGGATGAAAATTAATTGACATAAAAATTAATATAAACAGACCTAGAAATGAGACAAATGGTAGAATAAGTGGACAAGGACTTCAAGATAATAACTATACCTATATTCTAAAAGTTGAAGACGGTAGAGAAAGGCATGCCCATGTTAAAAAGAGACATAGGAAATAGTTTTAGAGACTCAATTAAAAGTTTCAGAAATAAAAATTAATGCCCAAAATAAAAAATATACTGGATGAAATTAATGACAGAGTTGAAAGTGCAGAAGAAAAGATTAGTAAATGTGAGTATTTAGCAGTACAAACTAGCCAACCTGAAACACACAGAGAGGAAAAAAGACTGAAAAAATATAAAATATCAGTGAGCTTTGGGACAACTTCAGTTATTCTAGTATATGTGTAATTGTGTAACTAGAGTTTGCTGAGAGGAGGAAACAGAGGGTCATAAAAAATATTTGAAGATTGGTCAGGCGTGGTGGCTCACACCTGTAACCCAGCACTTTGGGAGGCTGAGGAGGGCGAATCACAAAGTCAGGAGTTGGAGACCAGCCTGACCAACATGGAGAAACCCCGTCTCTACTAAAAATATAAAGTTAGCCAGGGGGTGGTGGTGAATGTCTGTAATCCCAGCTACTCAGGAGGCTGAGGCAGGAGAATTGCTTGAACCCAGGAGGTAGAGGTTGTGGTGGGCCAAGATTGTGTCATTGCACTCCAGCCTGGGCAATAGGAGTGAAACTCTGTCTCCAAAAAAAAAAAAAAAAATTTAAGAACAAATAGACAAAACATTTCTTTTTTTTTTTTTTTTTTAAGACGGAGTTTCGCTCTTGTTACCCAGGCTGGAGTGCAATGGCGCGATCTCGGCTCACCGCCACCTCCACCTCCTGGGTTCAGGCAATTCTCCTGCCTCAGCCTCCCGAGTAGCTGGGACTACAGACATGCACCACCACCCCTGGCTAACTTTATATTTTTAGTAGAGATGGGGTTTCACCATGTTGACCAGGATGGTCTCCATCTCTTGACCTCGTGATCCACCCGCCTCGGCCTCCCAAAGTTCTGGGATTACAGGCATGAGCCACTGCACCCAGCCCCAAAACATTTCTAAATTTAATGCAAACTATTAATACACAGGTTTAAGAAACTTAACAAAGCCCAACACAAGAAATGTAAAGAAGACTACAATAAAATATATCAAAATCAAGTTGTTAAATCTACTAATAAAGAGGGGAAAAAAGCAACCAGGAAGAAGATACAGGTATGGAGGCATAAAGATGAGAATGACAGCAAACTTCTTGTAACTAACAGAAACCAGAGGACAGTGGCAAAGCACCCTCAGAATACTGAAAGACAAAACGAAACAGCACTGTCGACTTAGATTCTTATATCCAGTAACAATGTCTTCAAAAGCAAAATTAAAATAAATACTTTTTTAGACATACAACCAAAAGAATTAATCACCAGTAGACCTACACTATAAGAAATGTTAAGAGCAGTCCCTCAGGCAAAAGTATAATGCCAGGTAGAAATCTGGTTTTATACCAAGGAACAAAGAACACCAGAAATGGTCATTGTGTAGGGGTATAGGAGGGAGCAGGGGAGTTAATACAAAAGACTTTTCTCTTGCAATTAAAAATTCTCTTTGAAACATAATTTTGTAAAGCAAAAATAACCATACTGTATTGTGGGGTTTATAAATAGAAGTAACATTTTTGACAAGAACACAAAGGCCAATCCAGGATATTGAATTTATTGTTGCAAGTATATGTGAAACGACCCAACATTGCATGATGGTAGATTATGATGAGTTAAAGTGCTTATCTGAGGTTGGCAACATCTTCTGTAAAGGGTCAGGGAGTAACTATTTTAGTCTTTGCCGGCTTTATGGTCTCCATCACAACTACTCAAGTCTACTGTTTTCTTATTCTATTTTATTTTTGGAACAGGGTTTCGCTCTGTTGTCCAGGCTGTTGTACAGTGGTGTGATCACAGCCCACTGCAGCCTTATGTTCCTGAGCTCAAGCAATCCTCCCATCTCAGCCTCCCAAGTAGCTGGGGCTACAAGTGCATGCCACCACACCCAGCTAATTTTTTTTTAATGGGGTCTCCCTTTGTGACCCAGGCTGGTCTTGAACTCCTCCTGTGATCCTCCCACCTCAGCCTCCCAAAGTGCTGGGATTACAGATGTGAGCTACTGCATCCACCCTCAATACTGTTTTTGTAGTGTAAAAGTAGCCAGAGGCAATAAATACACAAATGGGTGTGGGTGTATTTCGATAAAACTTTATTGATAATAACAGGTGGCAAACAGATTTGGCTCAGGTGCTATAGTTTGCCAATCCCTGAAATGTACTATAAACCCCAAACCAATCATTAAAAAAGAGAAGTATATAGCTAACAAACCACCAAACAGATAAATGAAATTATAGAAAATACTCAACAGGGCGGGCGCGGTGGCTCAAGCCTGTAATCCCAGCACTTTGGGAGGCCGAGGCGGGTGGATCACGAGGTCAAGAGATTGAGACCATCCAGGTCAACATGGTGAAATCCCATCTCTACTAAAAATACAAAAAATTAGCTGGGCACGGTGGCGCGTGCCTGTAATCCCAGCTACTCAGGAGGCTGAGGCAGGAGAATTGCCTGAACCCAGGAGGCGGAGGTTGCGGTGAGCCGAGATCGGGCCATTGCACTCCAGCCTGGGTAACAAGAGCGAAACTCCGTCTCAAAAAAAAAAAGAAAATACTCAACAAATTCCAAAGAAGGCAAAATGAAGACTGCATCAAACAGAAAACAAATAGTAAGATAGTAGGTTAAACCTAAGCATACTAATAATCACATTAAATGGACTACCAGTCATTAAATGACATAAATCAGAATCAAAGGGGAAAAAAAGGCCCAATTACATGCTCCCTACAATAAAAGCTTTAAAAATGAAGAAAATAATAGGTTATAAGTAAGAAGATAGAAAAAGATACACCATGATCACAGTAATTAAAAGAAAGCTGAAGTACTACATAAATATCAAAGTTGATTTCATACCATGGAATATTATCAGAGATAAACAGTCATTTCACAATGATAAAGGGGTCAATTCATTAAAAAATAGCAATCTTAAATGTTTATGTTTATATACGTAATAACAGAGCTTTCAAATGTATATTGCAAAACTGGTAGAATTGAATGGAGAAATAGACAATTCCACAGTTATACTAAAATATTTCATTTTTTGAGACGGAGTGTTTTTGCTTTTTTTGCCTAGGCTGGAGTATAATGGCACAATCTCAGCTCACTGCAACCTCCCCTTCCCAGGTTCAAGCGATTCTTCTGCCTCAGCCTCCGGAGTACCTGGGACTACAGGCATGTGACACCATGCTAATTTTTCTGTAGTTTTGGTAGAGACAGAGTTTCTCGATGTTGGTCAAGATGATCTCAGACTCCCGACCTCAGGTGATCCGCTGGCCTCAGCCTCCAAAAGACCTGGGATTACAGGCGTGAACCACCATACCAGCCTATACTGAAATATTTCAACACTCTCTCTCAGTTATTGATAGAATAAACAGACACAAAAGCAGTAAGCACATACAAGATTTCAACAAAATGATCAACCAACCTAATTGAAATCCCACCCAACAACAGCAAAATATCCATTGTTTTTCAGTGCACATACAAATCGTTCAAGACTAGCTCTGAAAGTGTAACAGGACAGCAGTTAGTTCTGTCACAGCCATTTATCTTTTCATCATTTGAGGGCACTCTCTCTCTATCACATGCCTTCATGACAGTTGGAATGAGGAAGTAAAAATGACAGAGTACAGGAAACAGCGAGCGCAGTCAAGGAATGCATCAAACCTCCAGGCAAAACTGATCTGCCACGACCAGGAACAGGCCCTAATGAAAATTCAGATGACAAGTCCCAAATCTTCACTGTGAAATCACAAGGGGAGAAATTGGAAATGAGAGTCGTGCCACCTTATTTGATAGATGGTAATTTAAATAGACATGGTTCATTAGGGGAAAAAATGAACTGGGGGGAAAATAAACATAAAGTCCAAACGCGAAACTTCCCTATAGAGTCACACATCACCGAATGGTGAGGGTACCTCCTGAGAAGTGTGTCATAGGTGATTTTGTTGTGAAGACGTCAAAGCCTGTACTTAACACATCTAAAGGGTGTAGCCGACTGCATACCGAGGCTGTATGGTACAGCCCATTGCTCCGAGGCTGCAAATCTGTACAGCATGTTACTACACTGAATATTGTAGGCAGTTGTAACACAATGGGAAGTATTTACGTATCTAAACCTAGAAAAGGCACAGTAAAGTACAGCCTAGAAGATTTAAAATGGTACGCATAAGGGCCGGGCGCGGTGGCTCACGCCTGTAATCCCAGCACTTTGGGAGGCCGAGGCGGGTGGATCACGAGGTCAAGAGATCGAGGCCATCCTGGTCAGCATGGTGAAACCCCATCTCTACTAAAAAAAAAAAACAAAAAATTAGCTGGGCATGGTGGCACGTGCCTGTAATCCCAGCTACTCAGGAGGCTGAGGCAGGAGAATTGCCTGAACCCAGGAGGCGGAGGTTGCGGTGAGCCGAGATCATGACACTGCACTCCAGCCTGGGTAACAAGAGCAAACTC